CACGAAAATGCCACATTAAATCGAATCATTCATACGGATATATCAAAACAATAAATTAACAACATAAAAAATTATGGAAACAATTTTTTAATGGAAATTATAAAAGCATATAACATGCGTGCAATGTAGCACGATTATTTATGCCTTTATAGTCAGTTACCTGAACGTTGCTGGTATAAATATCATTGAACATCATCAAGGAGCAAACATCGAGTTACAAATATATTTATGATACCCTTTTGTCTGTTATCAAGCTTATACGTTAAAAATGTCAACAAAATGGATTGCTTTTCTAATTTGTTTAACTGTTTTGACAGTTTCTATGCAATCTGATGCGGTTAGTTTATATAATTCAATGTATAAATAATAAAAACGTACTCTGGGTGTAATTTAAAAAAAAATCTTTTTTAAATGTTCTATTATACTAACTATCAAAATTGTTTAATTTTAAAAGCGCTAATGCTAAAAATGTTAATAGGTTTAAACAGTTGCGTAGCCAAAATTTTGCTGTGGGGACTAAACAATGTTAATAAAGTTGGCTATCTTTCATTTTGCCACAAAATTCACCATTCTTTGTTATTAAATTGTTCAAATTTGTTCTGAATTTCATTGTTGTGAAAAGTTTGAAATGGCTTTTAGTCCAAATTTTTACAAACGTATAAAAGATATTGTCTCAACCTTTTCACAATTTTTGCATTGTCGTGGAACTTCAGTACCAAGCTCCCTTTGCCTATGTCATATTTTTAAAGCATTCTTCGTTCACGGCAGAAAATGTTTGAGACACTCTTTCGTTCTTATTGGTCAAGACAAATATTTGAAGTCTTTGGCAGCATTGATTATATCTATTAATAAATCTACACAATTAGCATTTTTAGACTGGGTTATCAGATATAGGCTATTTAATGTTTTTGCAACTTGTAAAATGTTTTCAATCCCTCGAGTGTGACCTTTTCTTGATCATTCCTTCTTAGTTTCTACATCAACAACTCTTGCTATTTTAAACGTTACTATTGATTTTTTGACATTAGAACCTCACATCTCTGCTCTCATTAAAAATGCAACCACACAATTCAGTTTATCCACCATATTCGTCCTTTTCTCTCTGCCTTGTTTTGTCTCACGTTGATTACTAAATCTCTCTTTTATCTGAGTTTTATTATTAATAATATTTTCTCTTTAAAAATAAAAATATATTTCAAAGAAACTTGTCATTTTTTTTTAGATTTTTCTTTACCTTATTATCTCTAATCTCCTTATTTTGGTTACCGATTCAACACACCATATAACCACCTATCACAAATTTTCTATTTGTTTTTTATAATGCAGTTCTGGCAGGCGAAGAACTTAAACATCCATCTATAAATATATAAACTTTTGTGCCATGAGATAGATACATACACGGCTCGTATGCACGCGCAAGCACTGCATTATACACGCAAAGCATACGATAGTTCGAGCAACGTCATCGCGCAAATAAAAACTACAGATATGTCACTTCTACCTACTGAGCATTGCATTGAGTATAATAAGCAAAAATCTTTTTTACATTCGAGCCGGATCATTGAATTGTACAAAATGGTCTCATCTGATTCAGGATTGAATGTATAATCATCTAAATTCTGTGACGTAAATTCAAATGTAAAACAATCCAAATCGGTTTATTGTAAAAAAAAGATCTGTGTAAGAAAATGTCTATTTCCTTTTGATGTAAACCAAAATTCAATTAACAAGGTAAATAGAATTATGATGAATTTCGTTAAAAGAATCTCAAATAATTTTAACGTGAAAAATTAGTTGTTTATTAATATTACAAATGTTTATGAAAATATTTAAAATATTTTTAACACTTTTAAAATAGACGGATAGTCAACAGATAGTTTTTTCTGATGGCCAGTCAGTGGAAAGTCAGGAAAATCTCGTTGCTGATGAGCACACCAGGAAAAAGAGAGCGGCAAAAAAGGAAGCCGGTGCTAAACAAACAACGAGTGGTCCTAAATGATTACATTATCGCTCAACACAACATGTTAATCATTTGATTTGATTGTTAAAAGTATTGAATTGAATACAGATTGAATCTAAGTTGTGGATAAATTTAATATAAAAAAAATGAGATAAATAAAAAATGTCTTTTGATTATCATGTTTCATCCGTAATATTCAACTGACTTTGTTAATGCAGAATAAAAATTACTTTAATCTAAAATAGGATTGGTCATTTCAAATTTATTTACTTGAAATAAATCACATATTCTACTGGTCAAAGCTTAAAAAAAACTTTCGTTCAAGAACGTTGATTAATACTTTTTAAGTCAATTACTTTCCCTGATAAAATTTAGAGTAAATTTTCAATAATATTTTAAAGTAATAAAATGTTTTTAGTGATAATTAACTATGCAGTAAATAATTCTATAAATATTTAGTTTATCACAGTCATAATTAAGAACAGGGTTTCGAACGGGAACCGAACGGAAATTTGAGTCGGAATGAAATCCAGAGCTGAACCGAAAAAAATTCTGTTAATTTCGGTTCAGTGCATGATTAAATTTAAAGCACCAAGTGAAGTGAAAATCATTTAAAAAACGGGATTATCGAGTTCTTTAAACTTTGCTAAATTTCCAAATATTTTACATTTTCAATATTGTATTATTTATTTAGTAGTCACATGTTATAAATATTTGTGCGGTTAACAATCCTATCAATTTTGATTGCGCTTGTAATAATTAGAAAAAAGCTTACTATACGTAGTTACACAATTTTATAAAATTAGAGTTGTCATAAAAAAAAAGTAAATTAGTTAAATGTCACGAACCGATATTCGTTAGGCACGACACAAACATTTCGATAGTGAAGTGGTTTCGATGTGTCTTGTGTGTGTTTCCCTTAATGGATTATGCCAGTTTTCAAATTATAAGGTTTCACTTGGTTCAAAATCACGTGTACTCCTATCTTACATATCAAATTTTTTAGTAAATTCCATAAAACCTCTGATAAATTTATCTTCTTATATGGTTTTAGAATTTTCAAATTTTATAAATATATATTAAAAAATGGTTTAAATTATTTTTAAATCATTATTTTTCACTTGGCTCACAGATAAATCTTTTAGAATATATTTTAAATCGTTATTTTTCACTTAGCTCACAGATAAATCATTTCAAATCTTTTTAAATCATTATTTTTCTTGTCTGGTTTTAAGAATGCAACATAGTTCTGAAAAACGTCGAAGTGGTTGAAGTGATTCTGAGCAAGTTAGTTCAATTGTTCCGTGAAATTTTTGTTCCACAGACACAAATTTTTTCGTGGATGTTTTTTTTTTAGAATTTTTGGAAGTTTGGCAATCGATATACCGGCGACGTCGTACGTAAAAATATTCATGTTAACATAGATATCAATGAATGAACATCGATATTTTATGGATGTGAGGTAAATATCGATTATCGATATGTCGTTTGCATACCTTCCAAAGATAATATTAATTTACCATAGACGGATATTTACAGCGTCTTTAGCAATTTTTCGACATTAAAGCAGTGATATTTATTGCGGATGGGGATTTATCCAAGAAATAGAATACACCAGTGAAGATATATTGTGCAGTTATTTCAGAATTATGCAAAGGTGTGTTATTAATTCAAAGTTTAATGCCTTATTCGCATCAAGCCAAAATCAATGGCGTGAAGAAGTCAGAGAAAATGAATGAAATAAAAACGGTTGAAATGAATTTCCTGGTAGAAAAAAATAGTGTATGTGAAAATAATAATATAAAAGAGCAGATCATCAACAGTAATAGCAAGGATAAAGATGACGTTGGCGATGATGATAAAAAAAAATCAATGACCTCAGCGACCACACTCAGAAAGCAAATTATGCATCAACCACGACAAGACAAGATGATAGCTCCAAATAACTGACAATAAAGATGACGCGCTAAGGAAAATAGTAAAATAATTTATATGCCGTCATCAGCAAAATGATCAACACCCATAAAAAAACAGTAGTCTTGTGAATCATTGAAGAAATATTGGAAGTATGCTAAGGCCGAAAAATGTAATTTCGCGATAGAGGATCAGTGCTCGTCACAGAGAAAAAATATTAGGCCACAAAGTGAAACAGTAGAATGCCTACCAAAGTACTAACTTCGAGAATTTTGGCCACCTCGAGTCTGCATGATGCCCCGTTTGCAGTACATATAACCTACTACTCAACATGTTATCGCATTGCATTGAATTTTTAGTTCTCAAATATGACTGCTCCGAACATGTCTTCGTTTTAAAGTTTGCAACAGCTTGTTTCACATTTCTTGAATCTAATCTGGTTCATCTTTTTTAAATTTTTTCTTGATTAGTTATCACATTTCATGTTGCAGTGTTGACAGCAGAATGCTTACCAAAGTACCAACCTAAGTCTAACCTTCTGACAGCGAGATATCTGGAAAGTTCGAGAAGCGTTTCTAGAACGGGTATATAAAGACATGCGATATATTGAATGATTTTCGTTGAATATTTAATATTAAAAACATTGATTGTTAGGGTTGAAAACAATATTTGATATTTGACTGAGTTGTGTTTTTATTGTATTTGCGATAAACGTTAGTGAATTTGTTATTCGCAAAGCGATAGTTTCTGAACGTTAATTCGACAATTTGTGGACATTAACAATTATTAGTAAAACCTAATAGCGTTGATTATTAATTAATTATTGTTTTGTAAATAAATAAAACGATAATTTGGAAATTATCTTGTCCTTATTTTCTACTGCGATTAAACGATTTCGTCGTCGACCAGGAGGTTGTAACATTGGTGTCAAAAGTGTAATTTTCGGTGGAAAATTAGTAAGCATCGTTGTTGAAAATTTTGATTTTTTTTTTTGGTCGACAAATTATTTTATAAGAAAAACAATATGACAAAACTACATTAACTTAAACTGGTGCAACTCAAAGAAGAGTTATAAAAACGCAATCTTGCTACAAGTGGAAACAGAGGAGCATTGATAGCACGCCTAATGGAAGCCCTTGTTAATGAAAATGAAAATCCAGATGAATTCGAGTTTGACGATCAGGATGTCGAATCGAATGCAGTTGTAAACGTTAGGGCAAACACCGAATTGATGGCTCTACTTCGAACAACAATGAACAAAAATTTAACAAACAAGAGATCAAATGGATCCAAAAATTGAACAACGATCAGCAGAAATAAAACGGACGAGAGAACAAATTGGTGCCAAATTCAAACAACAGTCGGCCGCGATTGATGCAAAAATAATACAACAGTTGAGAGGACTCAGAGAACAATACGACGTCAAAGCTAAACAGCAATCGGCTGTAATCGATGCAAAAATAGAAAATCAGATGATAAGAATGGAAGATGTCACGTCGAAATTTGATCAAAAGGTTATTGGGCTCAAACAGAAGTTATCTTTGGAAGTGGATAAACTTATGAACTTGAAGAAACTAAGAAAATAAACTCCACACCTGTAAGACACGTGACCGCGATGACAATAAAAGCGCCAGCATTCGACGGAATAACTTCATGGAACATTTATAAAGCCCAGTTTGAAACAGCAGCAATGAATTATGGCTGGAACAAAAGAGAGCGGGCAACGGCTCTTGTGGTAGCGTTACGAGGGTCAGCGGCAGAAGTTCTCCAAACGATTCCAGCCGAGAACCATTCCAACTATGAAGTCCTGGTAAATGCGTTGAATTTACGTTATGATAAAAAACATATGAAGCAAATATATCGGTCTCAGCTACGAAACCGGACGCAACGACCTGGAGAGTCAATACAGCAGCTGGCACAGGATATTGAACGGTTGACTCTGCTGTCATACCCTACGTACGACCCACAACACAGAAAAGAGACTGCACTGAAAAAGTTAGTAAAGGCTGTTCGAAATTCAGATCTTAGACAAACTCTCATACTAGCGGACAAACGCAACCTCAAAGACGCCGTTGTCTACATCTTACATTTGAGTCAGCAAAGCAAGCTTCAAAGACTGACGTAAAACTGCAACGAATTTATAAAAAATGTTCATGTCATTGGATGGTTCTAGAACAGAAGGGTCAGGATTATGGTGCGCCAAAATACTGGAATTGTGTAAAAGAAGAACATCCACGACGAGATTGTAAACAACGCCTTAGAAACAATTACTGTCGTCATTGTGCAGCAACATGGCACAAACGGTTAGATAGTGACCCCGCGTCACGACCAACTGCTTCAAACAAGGAGGCAGAAAACTAATAAAACGGGCCTTGTTACTCATTGAATTGATACTCAAGACTCGAAGAAGAGGTAAACAAGGTGATAACTGCAATGCTAAACCAAGGTGTCATCGAACCGTCAACTAGTTAGTCAGTTGTCCTAGAACTACAGAAAGCTAAACGAAGTGACAAAAAAGATAGTTATCCACTACCGAGAATAGATGACATCATGGACACGTTGTCCGGTTCACACTGGTTTTCCCCGCTAGACTTGAAAAGCAGATATTGGCGAGTAGAGATCGAGAAAAAACAGCATTTTCAATCGGCTTATGGCATTTCACTGTAATGCCGTTCGGACTTTGCAATGCTCCAGCTACGTTTGAACGACTAATGGAATGTGTATTATGAGGCCTCACCTGGAAAACATGTCTTGTCTAATTAGAAGATATAATTGTTTTAGGAAAGTTGTTCAACCAGCATGTCGAGAATTCAAGAGATATATTTTTGAAACTTCGAGCAGCAAACTTAAAGCTGAAAATGCTAATTGTTTGCGAAGAAATGAATTACTTAGGACATGTCACATTTTCCAATGAAGGAAGACAGATTCAAATAAAGTAGAAATGGTAAAAAAATTGGCTAACTCCGAAGGATAAAAATGATTTGCGCAGTTTTCTCGGATTAGCTAAATACTGCCGACGTTTCGTAAAGGATTTTGCAAAAGTCACAGAGAAGAAATATTAGGCCACAAAGTGAAACAGTAGAATGCCTGCCAAAGTACCAACTTCAAGAATTCTGGCCACCTTGAGTTTGCATGATGCCCCATTTGCAGTACACATACTAATCAACATGTTATCGCATTGTATTTTTAGTTTTTTTTTAGTTTAATTTTTAGTTCTCAAATAGAACTGTAACTTATCTGCTTGTCTTCTTTTTAAAGCTTGCAACAGCTAGTTCCACTTTTTCTCAAACTCTGGTCTATTTCTTTTCAATTTTTTCTTGATTAGTTATCACGTTTCATGTTGCTGTGTTGACGTTGACAGTAAGGACTAGTATTGTTATTACGTTGACAGTAATAATTGTCACAAATATATTCGCTAAGAGGCGCTAGTGTCTCTACAAACGCATACGGTTCGAGGAGCTAGAATCTTCTAACAGCGGATATCTGTGAAGTTCGAGAAGGGTTGGTAGAACGGGTATATAAAGACACGCGAGATATTGAATGGTTGTCATTCAATATTTGATATCAGAGAGCGATTCATTATTAGTGTTGAAAGCGGTATTTGATATTTGACTGCCTTGTGTTTTTATTGTATTTGCGATAAACGTTAGTGATTCGTTATTCGAAAAGCGATAGTTTCTGAACGTTGATTTGATATTTTGTGGAAATTAACAATTATTAGTAAAATTTAATAGCGTTGATTACTAATTAATTAATTATTGTTTTGTAAATAAATAAATCGATAATTTGGAAGTTATATTGTTTTTATTTTTCACCGCGATTAAACGAACTCGTCGCCGACCGGCCAGTTGTAATAACTAGTATTAATTAAAAAATTGTTGTATAAATTGTTTACAGCGCTTCAAAGAAATGTAGGTACGAATCATTCATTAATCCATTTTTCTTTAAATTCAGCAAACTTCTTTTTAACTGCTCTATTCAGTTTGTTATATTGCTTTCCATTTACATCATTTTCCCCATTCTTGCTTTTTGCAATTCTTCTTTTTTACTTAATTTTGGCACTTCTAGAATGGCCAAGTTATGTTTAATAATTTTGTATAGACCCAAATTTCCTTGCCTTCTTTCCACAATTCTTATGTTTTTACATTTATATCGGCAGTTCAAATCCTCCTTCTTTCCAAAATTCTTCAATTTTTCTGTTTTTACATTTTTATCGGCAGTTCAAATCATCCTTCCATTTCTCCTTTGTGAGCCTCTGACTTTCAGCAGTTAATTTTTTTGCATAAAATATTTTTGTTTTTGTATTGTCATCCTTCTCTTCGAGATTAAGGCCAAACTTCATTTGTACCAACTGATGATTCGATCCTATATCAGTTCTGAATGCGCTCTATTATCTTAAACTTTGGAGGTCAATTTTTTTCTTATATCAGATAAAGGTAATTAGATTTTTTTAGTAATTCTAGTAATTCAAATATATATTTTTTTGGTTTTATGTTTTTTGAATAAATTATTTATTTTTTTACGTTACAAATTTGTAACAATCTTTATGTTCATTTGCTTCTCCCAGTCTGTGACTCATAATTTCATTCCATTTATCATCGTCTTTTTCCCGTTTTATCACTGAAGTTTCCCATCAATATTATCATGTCCTGAAAATATTGGAAAAACCGTTATCTTTTAGTTCCAGGTCAACAAATCTACACCATCCATTAACTTATAAAAATGCCTTAGCCATTGGCAGTCAATATGATAAAAACTATGTCAATTTCTGTTCATAAAACCATTAATATTAAAACCATAAAGTAAACAACCAAAATTTGATTAAACTGTGACAACTTGTCAATTTTTATTAATTTACATAAAAAAACAGAGTGGAACAATGTCAAAACAAAAAGCTTGAAAAATGTCTTACAAAATTACTTAATACTTCTTGTAAACTCTAGAAGATTGCCTTCAAAAAATGTTAATTAAATAGTTACTACTTTCATATAGTTAATTAAATTTACAAGTGTTTCACAGCTCATTTTGTACAGTCAGTTTTTATTTTTTAAATGTAAAGCTTTTTCCTTCAATATATCAATGCCCCAACCAGCATCTCTAGCATTTATCAATACTTCATTAATGTATTTTTCTGCATCATAATTTTTGCCCCATGATTTTATCTTTTCTTCATAATCAAGTATTTTTTTTTCTTTTATTTTCAGTCTACCAAGTTTAATTTTTCTTCTGATAAATAACATTTTTCTCCTTAACTTTCTTCTTTTGTGCTTTTTCATCTTTTTCTTGCGAATGGTTATTAACTTAGGCATAGCTTGAATTGATGTTTGAGATAAGTTTTTATTTGTACAGTTTGTTTCATAAGGTGGAAACAACAATTGTGAGCAGTTCAACATCAACGAAATCACAATATTTTCATATAATGGTTGGTATATCAATGGCTGGTATATCAAAGGCTGGCATATCGAATGTTGGTATATCAAAGGTGGAGTGTTAGGAGGTAATAATTTGTTGTACTTATACATTGAAAAAAAATTAATAGCTACTGTATCTGAATTATTTACTGGTGAGTTTTGCAATTTTCCATCCTTATTTATCAGCTTCTGCATAGTTACAACTGCAATTAAGAACAACAAGAATATAACTTAAAAATGATAAATCAGCATAGCAAAATAATAAACCTGGGTTAATAAGCTTAGATAAATTATGCCTTGCTTTTATTCTTGTTACTGTACAATAAGCCATTTTTCGATCTGTAACAGTTTTCAAATCAAAACGATTTCACATCTAATTAAACAAACTAAAATTAAAAATAATATCAAACTAACTTGTAAAACTAGCTTTGATCATTTTCAACATGGTGCTTTGTGCAATGGTTTATTACAGTGCTGTTTAACAAATTTAGTCACTATTCAAATACAAATAACAGTAATAATAAATTTTGCATAAGCCTTTAATTATTAATAGAGTTGTACTAGATTTTTCATTCGCCAGGGGTTGGTTCAAGTTTGTAATATTTTTGACATTTCAGTAGCAAAGAAATTTTGCTTGAACCCTCCTTACTCATTATTTATACATACACGTTTATTTTTATTATTCGTTATAATATAATCATAATGTAAAACTTTAAGACTTAAAGTATTACACTTAAAGTTTAAGTGTAATCTATAATGCAAGTAAATAATATATTTTGTATATTTATAATGATGTGTGCGATTTTGATAACTTATATATTATAAATGATTATAGAAATTATAATAATTACAATTAAAATAATTATAATGTAAATTATATATAATAATTATATTATAATCAATAAAATAAATATTCAAAAAAGTTCGAATTTTTAGTCTTTACTCACACTGAATTTTTTCTCTGTTGAATTCATAAAACGAACATAAAATTTTGTATACCTGACAGAATTTGATAAGAAAATTTCCGACAAAAATACGATCTTGTGATTTTGGTTAAAAAAACACAAAGACCAACGAACTAAGCGAGCTTAGCCATAAAAGACGAAAGTAATGTTTGCGACAGTTTAACTCAGAACCAGTGAAGCATATCTAAAAGGCAGATTATAACAAACCCAATAAACTATATATAACAAGAAAAATATTGTTATTTTACGATAGAAGAATTTAGTCATTGAAATGAAATTTAAAAAAAGCGATTATGCGATGCATTTTAAATGACTCTTTTTAATGTCGGCAAACGCTCACGCGTATTTTTTTCGACAAATTTATATAAGTTGAGAGTTTTTAAGTTATTTTACTAATTTTTTGAAGTTTAAATATGTCTGAAATGTTAACAATTTATAGAATTCATCAAACGTATATCAATGATTGCAATGCCATTAAGAAAATAGCAGTAATTGATCCAAAAGTTATTGAAAACTGAAGATGGTATAGGAATACCGGAAAAAACTTAATTGCTCTATCATGCATAAAATATAAAAAAATGTGAAGGTGCTTTCGAGGGCCTATATATGTATTACAAGTATATGTATGTAGTTATTAATTACCTAATTATTAATTTAAGTTCTCTTTTAAGTTTATTCATAATCTCACTTTTTGCTTATTGCACAAACGAATCACAGCAAGTAGATACGAAGGTAATGTTCGCGACAGTTTCGGCGACGGTGAAGCATATCTAACAGGCGGAACCAATATTGTCAAATTGGCTGAACAGTTTGAACTAATATATTTTCGTTTAATAATATTACACGAAATAATTAAAAATTAATTTTGTCACATAAGCATCTGCGTCCCGTTATTATTTTGAAACGATACGATTTTGGCTACGGTGAAGCATATCTAACAGGTGGACTCAATCATGTCAAATCGGCTGAACAGTTTGATCTATTAAATTTTCGTTTAATAAAAATACACAAATTTATTAAAAATTAACTTTGTTACATAAAAATCTGCGTCCCGTTATTATTTTGAAACAATACGATAACGAGGTATTGTCATCATGTGCACGAGTATGTGCACAAGTTGTATGATGATTTTTGAGTTTTTAAAAGACAGTATTTGAACCAAGATATTGCGCAATAACAATGACGCTTGGCACATTTACAGTCTGCCCTAAGTTGATTTTCCGCTATTTCCGCTTTACAAAATGTACTGTTTTAAAACAGAAAAAGTTAAAAGTCAATTTCACTCTTCCAAAGTATAGAGGATTCAACAGAGCGCACAAACATCCTAAATGAATACGTGCTAAACGACGCATCACACACAAAACATGTGATAGGCGGGGATCGTTTTGTCACATTCGAACCTGGTTACTGCGAAACAGCACCAGAAAACCTCAACAATTAGACTATTACGCCGCCCAGTCATTCCGTCCAGAAAACAGTCATTCAATTAAAAAATTAAACAAAAGTTACCTTTTTTTTTGCTAATAGTTTTTTAAGCAATTATATCTATTCGACACATTGTAATAACGATACGAGACAAAATGTTTTTTTTTGTATTTTTTATTTGATACGAAACTTTTTGGAGAATGTCTCGTTTTAATAACGATACGATATTTTTAGAGTCTTTATTAAACCAAAGTCATTCAATTGGAAAAAATTAAATAAGTTTCAATTTTTTATAACCCTTTATTTTTTAATAATTCCCACACATTGAAATAATCGTACGAGACGAAAATTTTGTTTTGTATTTTTTATTTCGATATGATAGACTTTCCTGAAAAAGTCTTGTTTAAATAACGATAGGAGATTTTTGGTATTGTTATTAAAGGATACGAGATTTTTCGTGTCGTTTTACAACGATACGAGATTTCTTTTATCGTTATTATTATTAAATCTCGATTGATAACAAAAATAACGGTTTGAGATGCAGGTGCATAATATTAGATTTTATATATTATTTTGTTGACATTATAATACAATTTAAAAATTGTAAAGTATATTATCGAATATTTTAAAATTGTGTTGTACTTTTTTTAATTTATAAATTAATTTTAGTGAACTCGGTGAATTAAACAGGAACTGCAAAAAAGTGTTGGACTTAATTATGGAAGTTTTTGATCCTTGTTATTGTCTCGCAAACAACCTATGTGCACCACAGTTACGAAGTTTCCTGCATCTGATGTGTTACAACGGAAAAGAGGTTAGTTGCAGGATGTAAACCAACTGCACCGTGCATTTTTTTAAGTTGAAGAAGAGGCGTACCAAGGTTACCGGTGACGCAATGTTAGAAATGTATGGATGACGCGTTCAAACCAATATTTGGGGATGTGCACGAAAGGGGAGAAAGTTTTGTTTTTTTTTTATAATATTTTAGAAGAAAAAATTGTCTATTAGAATATTCAAATATTTTTGAGATAAACACATAAATAGACTTTTGGCGATTTTTTAACTTTCTCGTTACCAATGACGCAAATTTGGAAATGTATTGGTGACGCGTTCAATTCAATATTTGGAAATGTGCAAAAAACAGAGAAAAGTTTTGTTTTATATGGTATTTTAGGGGATAAAATTTTCTATTAGAATATACGTCTTTTTGAGATGCACACATAAATGGATTGTTGGCGATTTTTTAACTTTTTCGATACCGTTGATAAAACAAAACAAGAAAAAGTTTTCTTTTATATGATATTTTAGGGATAAAATTAAAAATAAATTTAAAAAATTTAATTACCTATTAGAATATACAAGAATTTTTGAAATGCACACAAAATTGCATTTTTGGCGATTTTTTATCTTTCTCGTTACCGATGACGCAAATTTAGAAATGTATGGGTGACGCGTTCAATCCAATATTTGGGAATGTGCACGAAACGGGAGAAAGTTATTTTATATGGTATTTTAGAAGATAAAATTCTCTATTAGAATGTACAAGTATTTTTGAGATGCACACATAAATGGATTTTTGGCGATTTTTTAACTTTCTCGTTACCGTAGATATATTAATATATAACGCTTTGATGACGAAGTTTTTTTTATTGTTTTATACAATTTTTAATCTGAATAAAGTTAAAATGTTATAAATAACAAATAAAGAACAATAATAAATATTTTTTCATATTAAACCTTTAAATATTTTTTATTTAATCGATTTTCCATAATCCGCCTTTTACATATGCTTCACTGTCGCTAAAATAAAACCGTCGCGAGCATTACCTTCGTCAGGTAGATAGGTAGAAAAATATTTGCCATTACCAAGACATTTGAAATAAATTTAAAAGAAGAAGCAGCTGACAGATTTAACTGTTAAATATAAAAATAAAAAGGGATTTGCCAGATGACTTCGCAGGCTGCTGCTTTACAATGCTATAATAACGAGCTTGTACAATGTCGGTTTTTTGATTTTTTTCTTTTTTTTTTGACTAGAAAGAAAAGAATCTTACAGTGGTAACTGACTTGTAATCAGACAGCTAGTTATAGTTGTCTTAACTATAACATAACTAGCTGCCTGATTTTAATAATCTTTTTTAAATAAATACAGTAAAGGCCAGTTAATCAGAAGTGCTAATCAAAGATATTCAGAGCCAATGATTTTATATTACTATTTGTACAAGTAACTAACTCATTATTGATTATCACAATTTTGAATATAATTTGTAAAAGTTTTATTTGTACTTAGTTAAATTATGAAGGATGATATTTTTTATGTTGTTGATCTACTGATCCTTTTGTTTAAATTAAGGCATTAATCAATGATTAAAGCGTTAAGCTCATCCACCTCTCATAACATGAATTAACAGCTTGTTATACAAAAGCTGTGTATATTTTTTATATTTTTATGATTAATAGATGCATAAATGATCATGATCCTATCAAAGCTAACAGCACACTTAATTAAATTGATGTAAAATATTTAGAACAAACTGAAAATGCAATTATTGAATCAATTTTTATTTAGATTTTTTAAATGAGTTTTACTCACATCTAAGATTGGTCACAGCAAGCAAGTTGTATTTACTTTTTTCATAGAATCAGCATAAAATTGTGCATTTATCATTTATTTTTTATTTTTTAAAATCATTTGTATATAAGGAAATTTTTAATACGTTGAATTCACTCTATTAAATAAAATAATTATTACATAAGATTAATAAGATCCATTAAAATTATGAAATAAAAACATGCCATTGATCATTATATAAAATTTTTGATGACATATAACAAAATGCTATCATGACAAAACCATAATTAAAATCACCAAGCACAATCATCATAAAACTTCAACCTCTTGGGGATTTTTTAAACGTTATAAACTGAGTTGTAACTCTTTAATAATAATAATAATAGTAATTATTATTAAAGGACACGAACTGAACGTTCTATGCCCCTAACAAGTGAAAAAAACAATATAATTAACCCACCATGTATATAATAATAAGTGAAATCTGTACATACCAAGCATATAATAACGTACAAACATCTCCGAAAATGCAACTATACAATCCAAAATTTTGGTAAATTACTTAATATTAATGTGCACATATACCCAAACCTTTGATCATTTAAATGACATATTTATATATACATGAAAACAAATATTCCTAGAAATTTAAATTACAAACATTCATTATGACAGTCATGCAGATCATCCGAACATAACTTCACAAACATTGACCAATATTAGGAATGAATAATATGTAACATAAATATATATATATATATACATACATACGTGCACAAACATACACACACACACACACATACACACACATAGATATATATATATATATATATATATATATATATATATATATATATATATATATATATATATATATATATACATACATAAAATAAGTTAGCCATAAAATGATTACAAAATAAAATTATATCAGCCAGCTTACATATATACATAAAAGTAAATATTCATAGAAAATATGTGAATCTTTTAAACAAACTCCATGTTCCAATATTTAACTTCAACGTCATTCATTATGCCAATCATGCATATCGTCCAAACAACCGCACAAGTGTTAATTAACAATAGGTATAAAATAGCAAATAATAAATAACATAAATATGGAGTGCACCGTTGAATCGACGAATTGAGTTATCGGTGAGTCCTAGAATGAGCAAAAAGTCCTTTCCTTGACGAACATGTCCGTGCACATGTTCCACAGATTCACACACCTGTACTATCGCCGCTTCGGCCGTCTGTTTTTGTCGAATCCTTTTTTCAGCGAGAGCAGCTGTACATGCCAGTTCAAAAGCGGAAACCGCCGACTGGGTAGACCTTCTCCATTCTGAGTGCCGCAGAGCATTAACACAAAGAACCTTGGATTCTAGACCACATTTTTTCATATTTTCTTTAAGGCTGTTTTTGTATCTACGTACAGGGCCACTTGCCAGTCTAGGAGCGGCGCGATAGTGTAATGGCTAAGGTGTCTAGCATTGTTGATGCAGTGTCCGAGTTCGAATGCAAAAAGATCCCCGTCTATCACATGCAAAACTGTGTGATGAGTTGATTCACGTGTATTTATGCACCGTGTGTTTGTTGTGATAATGATAATACGCCTCAGTCGCTTGCCATGGCGCTATATAAAATGACATTATTGTTTATTATTATTTCCCGACGCCAGTTGATCAAAAAAGACAAAAAGACCTGTCTGGCATACGTATAACATGCTCAATCCAGCGAAACTGAGTTTGAAGCAAAAGCGATTCTATACTACTATTCTACACATTGCTAGAACCATTGTATTTGGGACCTTGTCTTTCCACCTAATACCTGCAATCATACGCAGGCACCTCATATGAAACTGGTCGAGCCTACGAATGTGGCGATGATAGAACATCTAGGTTTCGCAACCATAAAGCGGTGAAGGGAGCAAAACTGCTCTGTATACCACAATTTTGGTGGCCTGAGTAATTCCGTGCTCTTTCCAAAGACGTCCGGTCAGCATACCAAAAGCAGCACCTGCTTTTGCATGCCTTGCTGTAATATCATCGATGGCTGCACTGTTGGAGATATATCCGCCTAGATAACAAAATCTATCAACAGAATTGAGACGCGAGTCGTCCGCCATCACATGGGCCATTGTCCCCCACGAAACTGGGTAGCTCTGATGTAAGTCCAAATCTCTTAGCGGTTGAACAGCGTCTGAATCTTGGCCTGTGTGTGTGCAACCAGTGCACAATCATCAGCAAATAACAGGTCTCGAACAGTAGAGATCTGTGTTTTGGACTTCACTTGCAATCGTCTGATATTCTGATATTAAAAATATCCCCATCCATACGATAGCAGATTGGTATCCCCTCACTACCGTGACGAAGAGCAACTCGGAGCATCAATGAAAAGTAGATGTAGAACAGCAATGGAACCATAACACATCCGTTTGTAACATCAAAATCCTGAGACCGTTCACCATTTTCAATCACACTCATTTTCATACCTTCATGGAAGGAACGAACAATGGCAACAGAAACAGAGGGGCAACCAATTTTCGACAAGCAGCGACAGAGGGCTGATCTATCAACCGAATTAAATGCCTTGGTCAGGTCAACACAAACTGAGTACAGTCCCCGTTGCTGCTAACGACATTTTTCTTGCAGTACCTTGCAGTGATATCATATCAGTTGTGCTGCATCCGGTACTGAAACCACACTGACCTTCCGGAAAAATATCTAGATCATTGGTATGTTTCGTCAGGCGTTCAACAATCACTCTGGCTAGTATTTTTCCAGGTATGGAGAGCAGAGAGATTCTCCCTCGCCGCCCACCAGGACTCTTTCATTCTGCGCAGCTCCTTCTGCGAGATACCTCATGCATTTGAATAGGCTACCTTCTTTGCATTATTGCTTTTGTCATTTATCCAAACAAGATGTGTTTTGTGCACAACATCTAGCAATCTACGAGCTCCCGTATCTCGTTCATCGAACCAGTCCCTATGCCCACCCCGGTGGTTACCGAGCACATTTCTTGCAACCTTTTTTATGACCGTTTGAAAATGTGGCCAATCAAGGTCAGTCTTCTCAGCCATTTCGGTGCATAATGCGCGGCTGAAAGACTCGAGTTGACCTGTCTTCCAGTTTAGCTACATCCAACTTGTCAGATTTTACCACCCTATGATGCCTCAAGAACATGGGCATTTTGACAAGACAATGATCAGACCACACACTTGTCGCTCGAATCGCTCTGATGAGGCGAACGTTGCGTAGGTCCCATTGTCTTGTGATGACGTAGTCGATCAGGTGCCAGTGGGTGTATCCATGTAGACTTTAGCTTGTTTGACTGTTGGAAGACCGTGTTTGTCACAGCCAGTTTTTGCACTGCGCAGAACTCAAGAAGCCTGATTCCATTTGAGCTTTTTTTTACCAACCCCATTTCGCCCCAGTACCTCACGCCATATGTCATGATCTACACCCATGCATTGAAGTCACCCAGCACAAACAATTTGTGTTCAAAGAGCGTCGCGTTTACAGCTGTTTTAAGTTGTTCATAGAAATGACTTTTTTCTTCCTCCAGTGTGGGCGCATAGCAGCTGATCAACGTAGCAGTGTGTTCTCCCTCGAGACTCTGTTGCATCTTCATTAGTCGGGGCGATATGCCATGGGGAGTCTCACACACAGACTTGATAAGCTTGCTACGTTATTGCAAATCTAACTCCACATGTTCGCACTTCTCCTGCCGGGTGCCCCTGATAGAAAAAGGTGTATCCGGCACCTTTTTCCTTAAATTGTAAAGCATCGGATAATTTTATTTCATTCAGTGCAGCGATATCTATTTCAAAACGAGCAAGCTCACGTGCCACGATGGCAGTCCTACGTTCATGTCGATCACTATTCTCCAACAATATGCGAACGTTCCATGCCGCAAGATTCAGTATTTTCGTTTTGGGTTTTTGGATTTTTTGCCGCAGAAAATGGATATCCAGTCAGCCGCGGTCAGCCAACATGACAGTTTTGTTGGGCTAGCTTTTATTAGGACACATTTTTCAGTCCCTTGTCCAGCTGGAGAAAGCAGTGTCTCCTTAAATAGGGCTGCTTTGTCGCCAAGGTAGGACCGAACGTTACTGTAGCCTTCAATAATGAGCAACCATCATACCAAGGCCGCCTACGTACTGGATAGTGGCTAGACACTTCCAGTAGTATCCTCTACCACCTGTGCCCGTCGTCATTCTTCAGTCGCCACAGGGCTTTTACGCTCACACCATCCACCGAAAACAACCTGCACAATTGAATTAGTTTAAGGTGGGAAGAGTTTTGTGAAAACTAGCCACACCTTCTCTTTCCACAAAGGCCTGTGCCAGCAGGCACAATGAATTGCAATGTGATGACTGACCTGTATGGACGCAGCAGTTTAGTCGGAACTGACACCGAGTTGATGAGCGGAATCATCTTCATAGCTAACTGCAGGTGCTAGCGATTTTTTGTTTGGGTTTACTTCTATAGACTTCCCATGAATGGCAGCGTAGGTTTGAAGTCAGTTTTTCTTCTCCTAGGTAGATGGCCAGCCAAGGCTAACGAGCTCCACATGCCTGGAACGACTGGTTTTGTTTATGGCGCCAATTACTCGTCTTCGCCCTTTCCTGTTAGTTTAAACAGCTTCGCCCCGTGAAGACCAGAAGTAGGACTTGATTGACCGAGATGAGATACCTACCGCCAATAGGAGCATTTCATTTCTCATCCCCACTCCCGGCTTAGACAACCCGTCAACACACATGAACATATACATATATAAAACACATATAGTGGAAATACACACACACACACACACACACACACACACATATATATATATATATATATAACCAATTAATACAAAATAAAATTATATCAGTCAGCTTTATTATCAAATTTACATGGAATATCTTTTAAACAAGTGTCTAACTTCTTTTTAAAATGGACAACATCACAAACATTCACTACTTCAACATTCAAACCATTCCAGATATCAATCCCTCTTTTACAAAAACAGTGGGTTCTTGTTAAATTTTTGAGTTGAGAGCTGGTATTGAGGACCTCTTATTCTGTCATTCTTTGCTTTGGCCAAGTTAGGATAACAAAACGGCATCTCCGCGTCGCGAGTTAGCTTGAAGACCGTTATCAGATTTCTCCGCAATCGACTATAATTTAGTCGGAAGATCTAAGTATATTAAACGATCCCCATAATTGAGACCGCGGCAATCCTTCACCAATTTTGTTGCCCGCTTCTCTACTCATTCGACATCCCCAATCAACTTTTTGGTTCATGGAGCCCACACGCTGGATGCATATTCGATTCTAGATCTGAAAATAGATTTGTATAATAACAGAAAATAAATGAAGTTAATGAAGTTAAATGACCAGTATTAAAGTGTCGAGAAATCAGAACTAAATAACTATTGCATTTATTTATACTACTATAAATATGCTTATTGAAAGTTAGATCGCAATCAAAAGTTACTCCCAGATAATTCATTTCTTCTTGGGAATCTAAATATATTCCATTTATTTGATAAACGTTACGTTATTTAACGCATTATCCTTCTCATCCCATATCACCAATTAAGCACCAATTACAATGGACAACGAAAAGATCTGTTGCGTCATTATTTTTTTGCTTATGGCCAAATAATTGCTACGTGGTAGGGCATACTACATAGCTTATTTAGATAGCGTTTGTCTATAAATATATAAGAAAAAAAGACATCCTGTAAAATTCTTGAGTGGTTGGTTGAAGCCATTATAAGACAATACTGACATTTGAATTTCAGATGGCTGTAATAGTTTTTATGAGGGTTGGGATGGAGTTTTACAATGATCCTCCCACAGACATTATGCCATAATGGTACCTGAATATCAGGGTTCGAGGTCAGATAATTGATAGCCGGTGTGAATGCGCTTTAGAAATGCGCATGCCTATTCAAGAAGCTGGTGAGCGGTGAAGGAAAAAGTTGGCTGGCGCAGTTTTGGTCAACAAGTGGACGTTGGTATAGAGTGCTGGTAATGTTGGTAAAGTTGTATTTGCGTTGGTTTCTTGTTATGTCAAACTCTGAATTGCTGCGAAGTTGAAGTTTGATAGCATTGACTGACATTTGTTTAAAATTATTAATTTTTGCTGTGAAGAGTTATAGTTTGGTTTTCGATAATAAATTTTTTTGTTATTTACATGAGAGGCGTCACTCACTGCCACGAAACCCGCTACATTGATAAAAATGATCAATTGGTCAATGGTTCTACTCACAACGTTGGTATTACAATTGATTGAGTGATAGCAGATCTTCTTTGATGTCACATGGCATAGTGGTCTATCTTGTTAATTCTGGTGTTTGCTAGGTTATCAATGACTGATGATGATTTGGATGATTCTGCTGGATCCTATCCCTTTTGGAATAAAGTTTCAATAAATGGAGATAGTATTAAGTTGATGATCTCCAAGCAATCCCTATGGAGTGATCTAGAACATATGAAGAAATTGTATGAATCAACGTTTAGAATTTATCATTTCTGTGGTATGATTTTTTGATTGGCAATAACAAAAAGCGTCATGGTTTGATAACAAGTGTTGGACGTTTCGTTGCATTGTTCGATGATACTAACGTCAGTACAAAAGGGCTTTCTGAGGTGGAATGAGTAGCTTGGAAAGATATGTTGGAATGTCTCCGTCAGTTATATCAAAGAAAGATTAATGCTCTCTAGCTTGACCATACCTCAAGACACAGACATAATCTCATGCCACCTCAAATTGACAAACAGGTTATAAGAAATGACCAAATGATTTCTGAAAAATTTATCAAGGCGACAGTTTTGAATTATTTCAAATGCTTTTACAACTTTTTTAGGTGTTTGTCCAAGGAAATTTTTTGCCTGTTGCTATTTCTCTATCAACAGCCTACATTAAATTTTTTGTAATATTATGCTCAAAATTAATACCGTTTTAATAATTTTCTTCAGCATTGTGTAACTTATTTTTCTTAATGCTTTGCATTTTATAAATTTCAGGTCTTGAAACGTTGAAAGGTAAAAGAGATGACTTGCAAAAATCTATTCTTCAAGAAGAGTTGGATAGGAAAAAAATTGAGAGTGAAATAAAAATTTTAACTGATAAACTTGGGGAGATAAACCAAAATTTGTCTATAAAAATACAAAAAAGAAATGAATTTGATAAAACGATATTAGAAACGGAAACTGCTTATTCTAAGGTAACGTCACTTTAATCTGCTTACTGTTTTTGAAATATTTTATTGATGTTCTCATGCTCTCAATTAACTTTTGGTCGTTGAAGAAATTTTCAACTTAACGCGTGAAATTGATTATGTCTCCTCTTAAGGTTCAAAATGCACTTTGATTGCGGCTGTAATTATTTGATGGGATAAATTTTTTTCAGTATTTCTAACTTTTGTATATACCATTGCGTTACAGTAGGTTTTTTACGCTTCCTCTGAATCAATATAACTTAAAAAAGGAAAATGAGTAGAAACCAACCGAAGGTTTTGTTTCGGCCAGTTTCAACCAAATAATCTTGTTTCAGCTGAATGTTCGATTACGACCAAAATTCGGCCGGAAAACTTATTTTTACTAGTTTTTTGAAGGGTTACTTTTTTATTATATTCATCAAAATTTGTGTTTTCAACTAAAAATATTAGCTGAGTTGAAAACATTAATTTACATTGGACGTTAGAAGTAGATTTGATTTACTCATATCCAACCGGTGTCGAATTTAACTGAATTTAAAAACGCTAATCTGGCTTGAGCCAGATTTGTGCAGATTTGTGCAGTTGTTACATTTTATTTGTTACAACTTGTTACACAGGTCTCAAACACAGCATTAAACTTTACTATGCTATGTAAACAAATTAAGTTAAATTTAATACAAATCTAATTTATACCTCATCATCGATTTTTGTAAATACTCTTACATACAGGCTCATATTGTACAATGCGTAAACGCGTGCATGCATGCGTATATACAAATACATAAATATAAATACATTCAAACTTGGGTTACAAATCCGGATCAAATCTGAAATCCGGCCTAAAAAAATATCAAAAGTATTTATATACTTTAATCACTTTTATAATGTATCAAAATATTTTGCTAAGAATTATCGTTTGTTTTGTTTTTATTGGTTTTTTGATTCGACGCATGTTGATCGCACATAAAAGATGTGTTACATTTTGATGTATGATACATGGATCATGGCTGGAGGTTCGGATTTGGTTTCGGCCGAAACAAAAAATCCAATTTCGGTCGGACACTAAAAATAAGTCCTTACTTAATAATTTCATTATAGTCAGGAAGCATCTTTTCACAATGCTTCTTCTCTCCTTTCTTAATTGTTATTTTTCTTTCAGCTTACTCCATTTAGTTGGTATTGATTGTAATGCTGCTGATATTTTACAGAAATTTTAATTGTTGCTTGGCTCAGATAGTACTAGTAGTGTTGTTAAAATTTCGGCATGGCTTGAAACCCAGCCTCTATGCCAAGCCGAACAGGTATGCAGGTCCAAACAAAGACGATAGAGTGGATTTGATGTGCAATAATGTCGAGTGACAATATCTTGAAAAACTTTTCAATTTCATAGAGAAAGATAATTTTATTTGACTCATTCTAGGGAAGATTAAACAAATGGGTAAAATTTGTATATAATCACAGTGTCAAGTGACAATATCTTGAAAAACTTTTCAATTTCATAAAGAAAGATAATTTTATTTGACTCATTTTATGAAAGATAAAACAATTGGGTGAAATTTGTATATAATCATAGTGTCGAGTGACAATATCTTGAAAAACTTTTCAATTTCATAAAGAAAGATAATTTTATTTGACTCATTTTAGGGAAGATAAAACAATTGGGTAAAATTTATATATAATCATTTTTTATTGAAGACGGTAATCGTTATCATTCAAGACTTGAATGTAGGAAAGTATCAATTAGCTCGGACTTACTAAAGTTAATGGACTGCATAAAAGCCGATGCTTAACGAACAAAATCAATCAAATCTCACCTCTAATGATTTTTTTCTCAAAATACAGTAAAAGGGGACTAATCTGTTAGTTAGTTTTTTTTTCACTAGTTAGCACGCTTATTAAAATCAAATCTTTTGGAATGCAATTAATTCCTATTTTGCTGGCCCAATTTACATATTTTACTTAATCCAGTTTAAAAAAAACGTCTAACTAAATCTACCGCCATGCAGTAATGGATTAACTATTTTTTCTTAAAAAAATTGTTTGGAATTATTGTACTTATTGTAAATAACGTTACTGTTGCAATGTTGCAATGATTTAGTGTTAAGGACGTTAATATTTATTTTATTTATTGTGGTTGTGTTCTGTTGTTGTTTCTGTTGAAACATTTCCAATTTTACGTTTTGATTCTTGATGAAAATTTTACTATCGAATGGTACAATTTATTTTTAAATGTTCGTTAAATTTAAAAAGCAATGACGTTAAATTTCTTTGATCAAAATGCTGCTTATAATTCAATAATAAAGAGGTTAGTAAAGTATATTTTTTACCCTCATGCCCGGGTTCACTGGCTATGGGGCGCGTCTCCAGGTGGTGGATAGTGGAAAGTCCTGGGCAGGAAGACCTAGGATTGCATCGAATAGTACGGAATGAGATGCCGCAAACCAACTGTACCAGAAGAAAGAAAAAAACAAAGAAAGAGGCGGAGGATCCTAGGACAACAGCTCTAACAGCGGATGATCTTCTATTCTAAATCTACTGCCTTGTGGAACAGGGACCTTTGACCCAGAGGCTAGGTGCACTGTTTACAACCGCGCTGCCTTGTGTTCCTTCAGCAAAAAGGCTAGGCTTACTGCTTATTACTGGTAGTTATCATTAAGAATTGGGCAATTCCAGATATAAAAATTTTTTGACCGAAACATCTTCTATGTCATCACAAAAAAGAAAAAAGATCTATTCCCTGGAAGACCTTAAATGGTCAAGCAATGACAATATCCAGGAAGTACGCAACAGTGAAGGGATGTTGCGGAAATTGGGCGTCCCCTTTTGGAATATCAGACTTGGCACTTTAAATACTGGATCGCTTACTGGACGCTCCATGGAGATCGTCGACATGCTAGAAAGGCGAAGGGTTGACATCTTTTCTCTGTAGGAAATAAGATGGAAATCAAATGGTGTCTATCTCTTTGGAAGTTACAAGTTGTTCTGGAATGGCCAAAAGACAGCCCAAAATGGAGTGGGAATCTTCATACGGGAATCACTGGCACAAAATGTACTGAGGTGACTCGAATCAGCTCACGCCTAATGCTGCTTAAACTCAGAATGAGAAAACAGGTTCTGACTGATTCACTGATCTGTGGTGCATATGCAGAGATATATACCACAGACCGGTGAATCTGAAGACGCCAAAAATGACTTTTGGAACACACTCTCAGATGCCAGGAAAACACCATCAACAGAGATACCATTGAGTTGGTATCGGAACAGCTGGATCGTCTGGAGAAGGTAGACATATCCTGGAAATCTTTTCAGGACACCCTAGTGAACGCTGCTACAGCTGTATGGGGAAAATCTGGACCAAAACGCCATCACAACCGCGAAACTTGGTGGTGGAACGAGACGGTGAAAAATGCTATTGCCAATAAGAAAGCAGCTTTCAAACAATGGCAGAAGACGAAGACTGATGAAGATCGAAAAACATACCGATCAAAGAACACAGAAGCGAAATGTCAGGTTGCGATAGCTCGTGCAAATCAATGCAAGGTATGGCTGACTGGAAGTAAAGGCGAACAAATTCGGTCACCCTACCAAATAGCAAATCAGGCCAAAAGACTGAAAAAGGATATAGTTAGTGCCACATGCATAAAGGCCCATAATAACCTTGCAGAATGAAGTGAAGGATCACTGGAAGGATTACTTCGGTCAGTTATTGAATGAAATAAACCCTATTGGGGTGGACTTTGATGCACTTCCGAGGGAAGGACCGATTCAAGGCAACACAGCTGAGGAGCTTACGGATGCGCTGAAGGTAATGAAGTAGCTGGTCCGTCTGGACTCACAAATGATATCATCAAGGCATTTGGTGGAGCAGGCTTCCGAGCCCTCTTACACATCTGTCGGGAGATGTGGAGTAAATTGATACTACCAGTGGAATGGAACAGTAGCACAACTGTGCCGATATATAATGAAAAGGAGACCCACTGAAATGCTCCTCATATCGGGGTATACGTCTTCTGGAACACTCCCTGAAAGTTATTGAAAAAGTCATTGAGTGAAGACTGTTGTCCTGCGTTTCAATAGGTGGTTACCAGTACGGCTTCATGGCAGGGAGATCCACTATTGATGCCATCTATATCATTCGTTAACTACAGGAAAAATACTTGGCAAAGCAAAAGCGACTGTTCCATGTATTTGTGGATTTGGGAAATGCTTTTGTCAGAGTGAGGCAATCAGGTGGAATCTACGTAGACAGCTTGTTCCAGAATATATGGTTCGGCTGGTTATGACAATGTTCTCTAACACAAAAACTCTGGTCAGCACAACAGCCGGTAACACGAATGAATTTGACATTAACGTCGGCGTCCATCAGGGATCAATACTCAGCCCCCTGCTCTTCATCACGGTGATGGAAGAAATAACCAAACCGATACTCTCAGATAACATATAGAATGTTATATGTGCAGATGATATCATCCTGACGGCGGCCTGATGCGGCGTAGCTACGCTCCATCCAGAGCTATACAACACAGCTATAATTTCTGTATGGTGCAGAGACGTGGCCGATGACAACAAAACTCGAACAGCAGCTTCACCATACTGACATGAAGATGATTCGTTGGATGCAGCATGTTGACCTAAGGGACCATATCACCATATCCAAACAACCGAGATACTGAACCGATCGGGACTGCACGTTGACGGATGCATGTCGTTGTCATCGCCTACGATGGTGAAGCAAAGCGAAAACGATACAATAATTTCTATTACTGAGTAGCAGGTGCCTGGCACCCGCCCAAGAGGTCGCCCCAAGAAGTCCTGGACGCAGACCATACAGAAAGACTTGAAGGCACTTGGTCTGAAGGATACAGACGCAATGGATAGATCGACTTGGAGACAGAAGCTGATGAATGAAATAATAAAGTCCAACCTATAACGGATGGAGACTATAAACGAGGATTGATTGATTAGTAAAGTATATTTTTCAACTCTTGTTGTCATAGACTTTTGAGGACAAATTTAAGAAAGCACAGTGTAACTCAGTAGTAGAAATGCTCTTTTAAATGTTGTATTTTTGTCTCGTTCACGTATGCCTGCCCGTTACTTTTCATTAGTAACAACAACATTATCCTTTATTTTTGACAATTTCAGATTTTAATTTTATTGCATATTTCCAGATTCTTGAAAGTTCACAAACACTTCTCAGAGTTTTGAAGCAAGAAACTTCAACTAATGCAGATCTTGCATCACAGACCTCAACCGGTGTTTTGAAAAAATTTTGAGTTACAACAATTTGGAAAATATTTTTTTATTTGTGTTTATGCCTTCATATTAGTTTAAATAATTATCTTTTCGTTGTTCTTTATTTATTTTTCTTAGTGTTTATAGGCAAATTCATATATTTATTAGGATTTTTTGGCGAACATGCCTAAATGCTCGGTTTTGAATTTTCTTCAACTATGTTCTGCAGAGGTGTTTGTTTTTAGCTCCACTCTTCCGTCCACTTCACGTGTGTGTGTTTGTGTGCATGTGCGCGCGTTTGTGTAATGTAATTGTTTTGCTCTGGAAATGTGGTTGTTTGCTTCACGGTTAGATAGAAAGATAAAGTTTCAGAAAGAAAAATTTTACCATCCATGAACCGATCAAACTTGAAAAAAATCAATTATCGATTTCACAAGATTAATTGCTTCCGTTATAAATGGTTCAAAATAAGCAAGTAGATGCAATATTTTTCATATTTTGTCATCAATAATTAGTAATTATGAATTATTAATTTTTAATAGAATGTAATTGATAATGAAACAAAATTGCATTTGAATAGTTGACCGACTAACGCTAACTAGCTAAATAAATTAATTGAAGTAATTAACAAACCTGTATATATAAATTAATTTCTCAAGGCCAAGATAAAAATTTGATGATTTTTATTTTGTATCGTTTTCGACAGTGACAAAGTGTTTTATGGATATTACAAAATTTCCTCACTACCACTCAGTTACAATAGTATTAACATTCGTGTAAGATGACGTCTGCCGCTGCTGAGATCTTGCTAGCGACTAGTTTTTTTACTTTTATCGTGATATTTTGTAAGCCTCATTTTGGTACCGTTGTACCTTGGCGTGCAGACCCATAACATCCCGTCCTTAGCTACTTTTCTGGTATAATATGGTAGCCAGAAATTTTTTGTGGGGAGTGGATTTTTGACCTACATTTTTATGAGTTACATATTAAAACCTGTAATTTTTTATTCAAATTCGTCAAAATAATGTTATAAGGCCGTACCAATTTTAAACCAAAATTCATAAAATTTATATGAAGATTTTGTTAAATCTAACGTTAACTCTGACAAAAGTATCTACCGTTGGAGGCTTCAGATTCTTCGTTGCAATGCATTTGTTTTAAATTTGTGAAAAATGCAATATAATGAATAGCTTAATAATTTGAATTTATAACATTTATTGATAAGCAAAAATTGTTTAATATGTTAGTTAGTCGTTATTTCGGAGACATATCTTATTAAACCTGTCAAATGTAGCAATTTCAGAAGATCACTGATCACTGCTTGCGTCAAGTTATATCTATGAATGTTCATTTTCATGCATATTTATATTTTCTGTTGTCAACGCTTCATTTTCGCTCAGCAATTTGATCACAAGTAGTAGTAATAAAAATAATTTAACCACAGTCAATACAGTCAATATCGTCAATTTATATTACACGAAAAAATGTTTTACTAAACTACGATGCAGTATGAAGCAAAATTTGTAATTGTGAAGTGCTAAGAAAATCATTAGTCAATAGAAAAAATTATTGGTTTGTGGGATAAGAATGTTTTGATTAAAAAATTATTTTTTGTATTATCGTTTTGCTATTCATGTTTTTATGTTAACCATTAAAACATCGCTGTGATTGCAAAGCAATTTTGAAAAATGAAAAATTACCCGTGACTGAGATGGAATAAAAAATAACTTTCAATTGAAGAATAATCTTAAATGCCAAAAATGGGCTTCTGAATTGTATTTCAATAATTACTTCATGCTCAAACTAGTTTTTCATGAAGTTAACATATTATATTTGCTTGTTTACATACTGAAAATATTTCCAATGTTTTGTTTGTTGGTTCATTCTATTTAGTCAGCCAGTTCAGGATTGCTCGTTGAATCAACACTATTTCTAGATTTTGACAGAGCTGGATAATCAAAGGCCTGATGTTGACGTACATGATGTTCGTGCGATGGAGACAACGTTAGGTCGTACGGGATTAAAGAGTTTGGTGGATGTACAGATGCTGGAAATGTTATCGGAGGAATGCTGCCTTGTCCGCTGACTTCATGGCATTCTGATAAGTTGAAGTTTATTTTAGAAAATAAAAAATCAGCAAATTAACTATTGCATGAACAAATTCTTACGTTGTCTCTGGCGAAACAACTGATCGATGAATGGAACGACGTCACACGGTGTCTGGAAAAGAAAGTTTGATCCGTCCATGTGACTGGCAATTTGGCAGGAAGCACGATTAATCTATAAATTAAATATTCAAAACATGATTATAATGAAATAGCTAAATAAGAAAAAATTATCTCGTCAATAGAACACTAAAACAACTTGCATTTCTATTGTCGGTTGCAATGTGATTCAAACTAAGATTTCTTTCCAAGTGAACATTGTGATGAGAGTGAACGGTCTGCTGGACTTGATGTTTGTTTAGTGGCTGAGATTTATTGAAAATTAAGGCAGGATAAGAAGTGCTTGTGATGTCTCCGTTTGCTGGATCGCATTGAAATAAAACATTAGCTTTCATCGAATGACAGATGAACGATTTATTTAAAAATTTGTTATCGCTACTTTTGTTCTCGACCAATAAGACGTTCTGTTCAGCTTCACAGTGCCTCAATCTGTATTGAATATACAATTGTCAATGTTGGTTATTAATTAAACGTAATAGAGAGTAACTTTTATACATTTTAATAAAAAAGGATAAATCACAATGCGCGAAATACTGCTGCTGAGCTGTCAAAAAATTGTAAAAAACGCGATAAATGTCCGTTTTTGGAAATAAATCATGTCTTTAGATAGGAATGCAAACAATATTTGCAAACATCCATAAAATATAGATGTTCATTCATTAATATCTTATTTAACATCAATATTTTGATGGACGATATATCGCCGATATAACGATAGTCGAACTCTCAAAAATTCTCAAAACCATTGACCTCATTCAGCAACAACAACAAACAAAAACACACTCAGATTGGAAAACCGTGGCTATAGTTGCTTACTGCCTATCCATAGTAAATATGTTGGTAAAAACATTATCGACAGAACCCAGATATCATCGAAATCATGGAAGCATTAACGGACTATATGAGGCGCAAAAGAAAATGGTAGTAGTATGGACACCTGGTCAGTGTGGAATGGAGATGAATGATAATGTATGTAGACAAGACAGCTAATGAAAGAAAAATGCTTCAACCTGAATGCACGAGCACAACAGAGTTAAAAGTCAGGAAAAGCACCTGATTTAAGAAGTGATTGTCCTGCTAAAATCAATAAGCTATGCTCGTACCAGTGAGATATATACAACAACAATTAGAGAAATAGAAGTACAAAATGATAAAAAGTTGTAGATTGATTTAATAAGATTTAATCATCATAGAACGCTCGGGTGATACAGTACATGTATTGGTTTTGATATAGAAGATCAATGTATATTGCGTGGAGCAGCGTTGGAATCGGTACCTCAACTGTGGATAGGATGTCAGGCCCTCTCGACTATAAAAAAAACTCAACCTGGATTGAACGTCTTGGAAAGATGAGCGAATGTCCACTAGAGGTGGCAATGATGGTGAGCGGGATCCTCAGGAAGTTGGAGGAATGGAATATATGATCAATGAAAAAATACGACAAGAACAACAATAATTAGTAACACCAATCAACAACAGAACATAAACAATCAAACCAAAAACAAAATAAACAACAACCAACAACAACACTTATAACCAGCAACAAACAACAGCAACAGTCAATAACAAAATGGTTATGGCTTGCTTGCATCAGTAGTAGAAGTGGACGGGAATGACTTTTTCATTCCAATTCTCTTCCATTCTCATCAAAGCATTCCCGCTTCATTCCCATTTCTCATAAATTTTACCAACTCCCATTTCACTCCCATTCCCAAAGAGGCATTTCCATTTTCCTCCCATTCCCTCTCGTTCATTAACATGATTTTTTTTTTATTTTTTCTTATAAAAATGTACACAAGACTAAAATAAGCAGCTAAAATTTTTATTAAGAAATTAAACAATTAAATGTTGCTATGTAAAAATAACAAATTATCAACACTATTTGCTGATATTGTAGTTCTTCTTTTCTCCAATATGCGATCTGCAATGCTGAAGACACATTCACTAGCAGATGAAGTTGTTTGCATGTTACGTTATAAAGTAAAGGGTAGAGGATATAAAAGTTTTTTTCTAAAACGTAACTGGGTCAGTATCCTTTACAACATGAAAATTCAGTCGATTACTTTTTTTATCTATAAGAAGTTGGGCATCAATTTTTGAAGCCATATTTTTACAGTTATTTTCCACAATCAAATTACAAAAAAACATGTTAATGCAATCAGCTAAATTATAAAACTCTAAAAGAAAGGAAAAGCGTAAAAATGAAAGAAAGTTCATTTCAATCATTCAAAAACATAGACATGAAAGTGGATAATAATACAAATTTTAGTATTTGGGATAAAAAAAATTTCCGTTTTCGCTAGTCCATCAAGTCATTCCCATTTCTCTAAAATATTTTTTACCAAAAAAACTTACTTCCATTCCCGCAGGAATTCCCATGGTTCCCATGAGAATTCCCTATTTCCCATTCCCATGTTCACCTCTAATCATTAGCATATTAAAAAAACTTCATGAAAACTAATACATGAAGCAATTTTTCATGGCGAACCTACGCTGCAATAATAAAGTTTTTAAAGTTTAATTGTATTAATGAAGCGAGTAAATTTTTTTACATTGCGTTCTGATTGATCCATAGCAAATAATATGAAACGCGAAAGAATAATGTATAACGTGGTATTTCTTAAAAAAAATGCAAATTTTATAAAAAAAATTTGTTTTACATAGTTGCGACACAAACAGCAGATGCAATGTATTTTTGGATCCATTCTGATTTTTATTGTTGTGCATTTTTATTACTTTTAAGCCACGCTTTTAAATCAGTTATTTATATCGTTTTTATTTTTATTGAAATTTTCTTTACAACACATGTAGCCAGT